ATATATATATAAGCATTCGTGTCTCTTCAAGAACACTTTGAATACACCACTCAATCATATGGATTGTGTTTACTTTTTGAAGCATCTGGTTTCATTAAAAATATCTTAATCAAATATGAATGAAAGTCTCATGGAAAATGAGGGCGAGTAAATGATAACAGAATTTTCAGTTTTGGTTGAACTATCCCTTTAAATCCTATTTAACTTAAGTAATATTAATGTAGTTAGTATGTGCTTGTGTCAACCTCCGTTGATGTTGGGGTCATGATACAGTTTCCAGCCTTCCAGAGTGGCAGCACGCCAGGCCTGACCACAGCGCTTACACAGCCTCTGAGCCTACACACACACACACACACACACACAGTGACATTTTCAGTATTCAGTTCTCTGTTTCTGAAGAAAAAAAAAAAGAGCAAAGTGCTCAGATTTGTCAACACAGAACCTGCAGTTACATAACAAATATAAAAATAATTTTCGAAACTATGTTTTGAAATTGCTATTGGTGATATGAAATTTTCTGGTTTTGGTCACAAACATTACATGTAATCAATGACTTGTTTTGTAGTGTTACAACAGTCGACTATAAAACACCCATAACAATCCCTATCAGAAAACACACCTCATCAGTCATGCCAGCCCGTATGAGGTTAAAGAGGTTTTTGAGCAGGCGAGTGTCGTCCTCTCTGTCCAGGTCTGCCAGTGGTCTCTTCTGTCTGATGGGAGCATCGGGATCCAGTTCTGTGACCAGTGGCCTGCTAAAACCACCACTGGACTGATTCCTCCTCAGCTTCAGGGTGTGGAGCGTGTTCTCCCTACACATAAACAATCCACCGCTCAGATTTGTCAACACAGAACCTGCAGTTACATAACAAATATAAAAATAATTTTCGAAACTATGTTTTGAAATTGCTATTGGTGATATGAAATTTTCTGGTTTTGGTCACAAACATTACATGTAATCAGTGACTTGTTTTGTAGTGTTACAATAGTCGACTATAAAACACCCATAACAATCCCTATTAGAAAACACACCTCATCAGTCATGCCAGCTCGTATGAGGTTAAAGAGATTTTTGAGCAGGCGAGTGTCGTCCTCTCTGTCCAGGTCTGCCAGTGGTCTCTTCTGTCTGATGGGAGCATCGGGATCCAGTTCTGTGACCAGTGGCCTGCTAAAACCACCACTGGACTGATTCCTCCTCAGCTTCAGGGTGTGGAGCGTGTTCTCCCTACACATAAACAATCCACCATAAAAGATCTACCTGCATTCAAATCTGAGTTTTGAGATGTTCAATAATATAAATAAGCAGTGATATCACTTACCAGTACACAGATTTGGCATAGTATTCAATGTTATCAGAGAAGTCTCCTATCTCATCTTTGGCGATACTCTCCAACCAATCCACCACCAGCTAAATGAACACACACACACACACACAAGATACTGAGCAAAGTGTTTTTTCCATGCAGAAACAAGCAGGATGTGTGTAAATGGATGCATGTGTACCTGGCTCTGTCGCACCATACTGTCCTTCTGGAAGAACTGCTCCATTACTGCCTTCTCACTCTCAGTGGGCATCTACAAAGAAAACACAACCACAAGTTCATATGCAGTGGCTCCGAAAAACATAGATGCGTAAGTCTCCATTAAAGTACGAATGTCACTGCAATGGACACAAAATATCAAACTAAGTGGCACAGCTTTGTGGCATTCTAAAAGTCTTCGAGCACTATTTGTTAATTTTGGACAGTATATCTACTGTTTTATCATTTAAAAACAGGCTAAATTTTACGAAATCTTTTGTTTGAACAATGTGCTTGTGCTTAGGGGTGTGCGATATTGAAAAAACATATCTCGATATTGCTCAGATTTGTCAACACAGAACCTGCAGTTACATAACAAATATAAAAATAATTTTCGAAACTATGTTTTGAAATTGCTATTGGTGATATGAAATTTTCTGGTTTTGGTCACAAACATTACATGTAATCAATGACTTGTTTTGTAGTGTTACAACAGTCGACTATAAAACACCCATAACAATCCCTATCAGAAAACACACCTCATCAGTCATGCCAGCCCGTATGAGGTTAAAGAGGTTTTTGAGCAGGCGAGTGTCGTCCTCTCTGTCCAGGTCTGCCAGTGGTCTCTTCTGTCTGATGGGAGCATCGGGATCCAGTTCTGTGACCAGTGGCCTGCTAAAACCACCACTGGACTGATTCCTCCTCAGCTTCAGGGTGTGGAGCGTGTTCTCCCTACACATAAACAATCCACCATAAAAGATCTACCTGCATTCAAATCTGAGTTTTGAGATGTTCAATAATATAAATAAGCAGTGATATCACTTACCAGTACACAGATTTGGCATAGTATTCAATGTTATCAGAGAAGTCTCCTATCTCATCTTTGGCGATACTCTCCAACCAATCCACCACCAGCTAAATGAACACACACACACACACACAAGATACTGAGCAAAGTGTTTTTTCCATGCAGAAACAAGCAGGATGTGTGTAAATGGATGCATGTGTACCTGGCTCTGTCGCACCATATTGCCCTTCTGGAAGAACTGCTCCATTACTTCCTTCTCACTCTCAGTGGGCATCTCCAGAGAAAATACAACCACAAGTTCATACGCAGTGGGTCCAAAAAATATACACGCTTAAGTCACCATTAATGTATAAATGTCACTGCAATGAACACAAAATATCTCACCAAGTGGCAATGACACAATGTAACTTTGTGACATTCTAAAAGTTTTTGAGCACTGTTTGTTCATTTTGGACAGTATATCTACTGTTTTATCATTTAAAAACAGGCTAAATTTTACGAAATCTTTTGTTTGAACAATGTGCTTGTGCTTAGGGGTGTGCGATATTGAAAAAACATATCTCGATATTTTCTGGGATTTTATCGATAACGATAATTAGACGATATTTTGCTGTGTGTGTTATTGTGCTCCTAAAGTTTTCAATATTCTTCATAT